TGTTGCACACGAGACATTTTTCTGTGACCCCCAACACGATAATAAAACGCACTCCCGTTTTCTTGTCACTATCTGAAGGCTGACATGGCAGTTTTCACCTCAAATGGCCCGCTGTTTTTAAACTGTAACCTTGGGACATGCGGGCAAAACATCAGCATCATTATTACTCCAGTATTGTAGATTGTCAATGCGCCAAATTTCTTCTTGCTCGCCCCCCCCCCCTTTATTCGCCACGTGGCCCCCACTGTGTCTGCCTCGTGCAATTTGGCACTCCACCTCAAAAGGTTGCTCTCCCATGGTGTAGACAATTCCAAAACTATGGTTCGCGTGAAATCACTCATCCACTAATGAAGTACTACGATCGATCTTCACGGCTCCTTCCTTTGTTTTCAACTATAGCTCATTTGCTGCAGACGCTGTCAGGCGGAAAGCCCCTGCACGACGTAAGTGCACTTTACAAGGCATTACTTCCGTGGTGCTGCTGTGTAAATATTACTTCGAAGTGGAAAGAGCGATGCCCGAGACAGTACCTCTGGGGAGCGATGGGCCAGGATGGAACTACGGTCCCAGCTGCCTAGCCGGGGTCGCTCCAGGAGGCAGCGGTTCCTTCTGCTGCGTGAAACGTATTGGCCGGCTGATTGGTAATGCATTACAGCATATGGCATGCACACCAGGTTACACAAAAAACAAGCACACAAAGGGACGACACAAGCGCTGAACTTCAACTGGTCTTTATTACGGGAAAGAATTGCTTAATTAGGCGACGCATGTGTTGTTCACACATGACGTGTTGCTATTGCAACAATGAAAACCAAGAGCACGCTATCATGCAGCAGTGACCAAATCGCTTATACAAGTGCAACAAAAGACAGACAGGCAAGTGAAACAGTGTCACGTGTTAATACCTAGAAACTTTTTTTCGAGGCTATATAGTAGCCGATGTGCAACCATGCATCCTTCCTTCCTATCGATAATTTCTGCCACCGCTATGCGTCGCCTACTCAAGTGATTCCCGTAATAAATAACATCAGTGGAAGTTTAGCGCTTGTGTCGTCCTTTTGTGGGCGTGTCCTTTTAGTAACCCGATGTGCGCTGCCATATTGAAAGTCATTCTACTGCGTTTTCGCATTGGCCGCTCCTGGCCAGTGGCCCGGCATCATCGGCTTGGCAGAGCCTCGTCCCCTGTGTGTTCTGCGTCCGGGGGCAGACTAAATGATCGGGCACCAGTTCTGTGTGTGCCCCGCACTTCAAGCACTACAAGCCGTCTTGATCGCATCACTGTGGCTGTGTTCCAATTCTGGACAGCACCGTGGATAGTATACGCTGACAGCTTCGAAGACAGCGTCGAGTCTCTGTTGTCCGACAAATGAAACGCTTCTAAAAGACGTCTACGCAACGTGATGCCCCCTCGCTTCGAGAAGAAAAAGCTATAAGAGAAACAAACGTAAGTGTCATTTCCTTAGCTTATTTCGTTTTCAAACGAAAAATTGAACGTTACACGCGTTGAGCGCCTGCAAAAGCGTCTGCTTGTGTGCAGACGACCATACGCCGGCGGATGCCAATGAAGCTCGGCGCTTTTTGTTGTGAATGGAAATATGTGCATTCTGAAAGCACCACCCAGGCACGATTCCCGCGTCCTGTCACCATCTTCACAGAAAGTACCGAGCAGTATCTTTCTTTTCCGCCGATTGCTTTCGCATCCAAATACGGCGCAGTGGGGCCGGTGCCCATACAACTTCTTGCAAGTGGTAGTGGCGTGAACAGGCGCGGCATTTTTAAGACCAAGAGCTGCCGCTTGCCATGTTAACTTGCGCGAGAGATACATACCTTGGTAAAATTTCCGGAGCCCTCCACTACGGCGTCTCTCATAATCATATGGTGGTTTTGGGACGTTAAACCCCACAAATCAATCAGATACATACCTTGGTAATCCAGAACAAAATGGCGCCTGGGTGCGAGTATGCCACCGGGAGCCCAAGGGCCTGAGTATGAGATAGGCGTTAGATAGATAAGCTTTGGCTGTCGGCACTGAACGGAAACACCACGTGGAAGCCCTCTTGGACTATTTTGTTAAAATACTTTCTAAACGAAGGAAGTTTGCACAGCAATCTTGGACAAAAAGAAACAGAATAGAAGAGAGGGCGCTTTATGCGTGGTCGCCGTGGTGCCGGGTCTGTATACCTGAGGACGAAGTGCGTGATATACACTGTGGCTGATATGGATGTATCACTAAGTAAAGCGTACTATATAATGAAGCCTCCATTACATTTATAACTACATAAGCATTTATAACTACATACGCAAGTGCATGTATGTAGTTGCGCGGAAGTTATCAAAACTTTTCAGGAACAATTTCTTGAAAACTGTAAGAAAATCGGTACCACGACGTTGACTTGTGCACTGATTGATATGTGCGGTTTAACGTCCCAAAACCACCATATGAATATGAGAGACGCCGTAGTGGAGGGCTCCGGAAATTTCGACCACTTGGGGTTCTTTAACGTGCACCCAAATCTGAGCACACGGGCCTACAACATTTCTGCCTCCATAGGAGTTGACTTGTGCACTGCCCACAAACATTTTTTTTTTTTCAACAGCAGAGCAGTTCTTAGTCGAGCTTTTCCTGTCCAGTGTTATGGTAGCGCTGGTCACGTGGCCTCCCATTGTAGCAAGCGTACGTGAGCCACGCCACCGCGCCTCGGACCATTCCGCGCTGCCGCTTGTTTTTGCTCACGCCGCAGCTAAGATCCCGAGGTGGTCATGCCGTTGCCGCCGAGTAATTTGCGTGCCACCGTTAACTTTTTTTCTTTGAGCCCTAGTGGTGATACTAGGCATCACTTGACCGGGGCAGCTCTTCTTGATGTGCACGCAACGGAGCCTCCATTTCAGCTGCCGCTGATTGGCGGGAGCTCGGCCAGCAGTGCATCATCCTCTCGTTCCGGTTTTTCCTCTTCAACGTCAGTTCGGCGTCACAAAATTTTCACAACCCTTTAGAGTAGTTAAATATTACAGGAACTGGATGTGTTCACCCGTATAGGGAAAAAATAGAAGAGAATGAACAGACAATATATACTTAGCACTCAACGTTTCATTATCATCAACTAGCGGCACACTCTACGGATGTCAGTTTCCACAGCCAGTGTAGTTTCAAGAGGTATTTTTTTTAACACGAAAGTGTGTTATGCCAGAGTCCACCACGGCTCTGCTGACGTACTTCCGTCAAGGAAGTGACGATGAGAAATATATACTAAGGGTTTGCGAAGAATAAAAAAACAAAAAAGCCAACATCTCTCAAGCGGTATCGAACCAGCAACCCCTCAAATTTAGCACGCGGCGCTAACCACTAGGCCACAAAACGCACGCTGCCTGGAGAGCTAACGGCAAGCCATTTATATACACCATACACCGTTTGGGTGTGCTCATGGTTTCGAAACTTTAGCGTGTTTTTGTTATCAGTGGACAGATGGCGCGACGTACTCGTGTTCGACTGGAGTATTGCTATACCTTTAGGTAGCAGAGTAGCACATTTGCTTTCCCAACGCAGCAACCATGCACTTTGGGGAAGCTTGTGCGCAGGCCGCACCACCGGAAGCGGTCGCCGTCCACCTGGAATCTATCACGTGACAGTCGTGCGCTCTCTAGCTCGTTAGCTTTGAAGTGGTACTTTTATTTACTTTAGATTCATGTCCTTTAGGACTTCCAGGCTTATTGTTGCCCACCCGTTACAAAACGCACGCACGGTTTAGCGCATATTTCCTTGCGGCCACGTACTGGGTGCACAGCAAGTTTGAAAATATATTGTGCGCGTAATTGCTCGCGGGTTAAAGCTTGCTGCACCCATTACGCTGAATGCTGCCATATGCGAAAGTTTCCCTGACAAAAGCCACTTTCAGCTTTGTCGCCTAAATTGTAGTAATTCCCAGTTGGAGACTTGAGTAACGTCATACAATAAATAGTATGTTCTGAGTGGTTGAAGTAGGCATTAGGGACAGTATCGCGTTCAACTTTTGAGGGACCTACAACTGGCCAGTACGTGAGAGTAGAGCATAGTGGAAATAAAAAGAGTATGAAATATAGTGACATTAGCCAGCAGTTTTTTTTTCGCGTTGTAGGATATATACTTTTAAATGATGCTTAAAATTTTCAAAAACCACCTTGTGGCGCTGCCTAGCAGAAGAAATTTGAAGCTGGACTATGGAATATGGAGTACATCAATTTGCTGAATGTGATCGCGTAGCCCGATGCTGTCGTGCGTGCCAGTACTCGAAATTAGAGTATGTACATTATTATACAGCCCCACTCAATTTTGTGCTGCTTACGACGTAAAAGGAACAGCAAGGTGAAACGCGGCGATGCCGTAGCGGCCGCCAGTGGACCAGGTCGAGCTGTGGCGCATGCGTGCGTAGTGCACGCATGCGCAGCATGCCTCCACGCTCGCACTCAAACTATCCGCACGCTCACTGTTTGTAGCATGTGAGCGTGCGTAGGAAAAATAAACAAACATTTTGCAGCATTTACCGCTCTACCATTCCGTGATCAGAATCGCTGACGGGCCTGATTTCCCTTCGCGCTAAGAAAAATGGGCACCATAAAACTGGTTTTTGGTCCTTTCAGAGGCAGAATTTAAGCCCCCCCCCCTTTTCTTTATTCGCGTCGACTATCATAGAACACGCAATTCACCTCTCATCATTTTAAAAGATATAAACTAACAAAATTAAAGTATTTCTTTAGAAATACCCGGTTCTTGGCCAATCCCCCTGCGTGGATGTGTGCCACAGATTCCAGGAATCACTCACTAACCTTCGACAGTGGGTGCAAGCTATGGTGTAAGCCGCATCTCAACGCTGTAGAAATAACGCCCGTCATCACTGGTCAAGGGCGTTTACACCACCTCGGAGCTCGCCAACCAGGAGATCGCTACAACATCAGCCGTTGCGTTTTGAACGGTCAATGAAAAACTACAGCGGGATATCCCAAGACATCGCCGAAGTGTAAGCGCAATGAGCATGTACGGGCGAGCCCCAAGCCAACCTCCCAGAGCGGATCCTCGCTACCTTCAAGAGATCTTCAACAATGTTGACAAGAACAGGAGCGGGAGAATCAACGCGAGAGAGTTGCAGAGTGCTCTGTCCAATGGCACCTGGAAGCCCTTTGACGCAAACACGGTTCAGCTGATGATGAACATCTTCGATCGAGACCGCAGCGGTAGAATTGACTTCCAAGAGTTCACGTCTCTGTGGAATTACATCAACGACTGGATCAAGTGCTTCGAAAGTTTCGACAAGGACCGCTCCGGTTCGATTGACAAGCGTGAACTGCGGGACGCCCTGACCAGCTTTGGCTACCGCTTGAGTGAACAGACACTGGACTTCTTGCTGACGAAGTACGACAAGGATCGAAAGGGTTCTATTAACTTCGACGACTACGTTCTGTGCTGCGTCAACCTGCAGACCCTGACAGCGGCCTTCCGTAGCTACGATACTAACAAAAAAGGCGTCATCACTCTTAGCTATGAAGATTTTCTGAAGCTTGGACTGAGCCTGAATCCGTGAGGCCGGCCTTGTATTTGGAACGAAGCGTGAATGACAGCTAAGCGCCTCGCCATTCCGGACTGCGATTTTCTTTGTGTGTCGTTTGGCTTGAACATGATTTAGTTATTTCGGAGGAATCGACTGCGTACAAGTCGTGAAAATTAGGTCACCACCCTTAGCTGATAAGCAAGCGCAGTTTTTAAAATTCTCATGAAGGCTTCAAGAGCGTGCACAATGTGTGGTTATGTTTCTTTGTCCACATTGTTGAATAAACGTCACAGACCTGGCTGTTCGATGAGTCTTCTATTTCAGGGGTGCAACCTCTTCCCTAAGTAAGAGCTTGTTTCATGATTTATACGATATTGCTACTCTCGGAATTTCTATTCTGTATTTCACTAGTCGCCTTTTTAAAGCACTGTTTAAACACTGGGTTTAAAGGACCCCTCATTAGGCCCCATAACGAATCCCAGTTAGAAGCTGGAAGCTGTGTGTCCGAAGAAGAGCCTTATGTCACAAGAATTTTTCGCAATCAGTTCTACGAGCTGAGAAAACCAGTATTTTGAATCAGCGCGAAACTACGATGCAAGGAGGCGAGCTCTAAACCCTTGCCGCTCGCCCCGCATAGCCTTCGCAAGCCAAATATCTTCCCTAGCCTAGCTGGTCACCTTCCCCAAGCGCAGGCACACGCTGATATAAAACTCACTACAAGCGATGGTCACGCCATACCAACCGTGGACACCTAGCCTCTGCGACATCCGTCACTCTACCTAGCCTCTGCGACATCCGAGCCAGAGATCACGTTCGCAAGGCGTGCCCGAGGACTCGAGCGGCGTCGTTTCGTTCACCAGTGTTATTTCGTGGTCTATACTGCCTGTTTCTGTGGGATGAATACCTCGGTGCGCTCTCGTTCGGAAACGCTCACTTAGACGACGCGTCTATAGTGAACTAGAATATGATCATATTCTACTTCACTATAGACGCGGTAGAATAGATAAGCATAACGAGTGCTCTCGAACATGGCTGGAGCTTGCTCGATGTGCGAGCCGCGGGGACACGAACGCACGCGGAACGCAGGCACATTAGCCCCACATTTTGTTGCAATTCTAGGTGGGAAAATTCAGGAATATACACACATTTTTTTCATGGTCTCATTATTTATCTCAAGTTTTATTCATGTATTTAAGCAAAAAGTTACCCAAAGTACACTGGGGGCGTGCAAATAATCGAAAATTTCGTATAAGGAATGAAGTAATAACGTGCTATTCGAATATCGGTACTCGAATCGAATAGCGCGCGTATTCGAAATATCGTATATTTTTCGAATAGTTTTGTCATAATCGGTGACAGTGAAAAGTGCTCGAAGGAACGAGACGTGGGAACAGCGATGGGTAACTTGTTTGCATCGTCGAATTACCCAGATGCTTGCAGCCCATGCATGCACTCGCACCACTATCGACGCCATATTTATCACAGGATGAAGACGTTTTACATAAAAAGACACTTAGGCAATGAATTGGTTCATATTGATAAAGTGCTAACCATAATGTCCTTACTATTATGTTGATTATTAGAGGAGACAGTCAAGGTCAAATTATCATGTTTAATTTTTGCGCCGAGATCTGCGCACGTGACGTCACGAATTGCAAAGTGTATTTGTCGTGTTTTGCCGACATTCCCTCGACAAAATTTCGCTAAACTTTGTATGCTAAGTCTCGGGCCTAATCAGCAGACATTGTGCTTCATTTTTTTGCCTATTAGGAGCTACGTAGGCCCTAATAAACACCGTCAAAATTTATGATGTCACGGCTTTTGGTGCGGGAACTTTAAGGTGACGTAGCCACCCACATTTTCTTTTTGCGAAGTTCCTCGTTTATCGAGCTTCTTCTGGTGGCGGGTGCAGTGATTTTGAAATTGTGAAAGGGTAATTTACTAATTACAGAAATATTGTTTTCCTCTTTGATGTCCTGATAAAACTCTACTGAAATTTGAAAGAACAGTCTGACACTATGAAATTTATGATGTCATCTAGCTCAATATCTATTATTGTTTAACTATCAGTTTTATTTAAAAGCTTCTGACAACTTACCACCTTGACTACTGTATATAGTCGCCGCTATACTTCAGCCTGCATTTACAAAATATTTCGAAGGGTCTTGATGGGCACTATTTCTGCCGGTTAAAAGTAACCGTGACGTTCTTTTGTGAAAACTTCTGAATGTTTGAGCTGAAGAATTCTCGGGCTGTTCTGAAAATTGTCCCCTAACCAGCCAAGCCCTTCTTTGAAAATTGTTGCCGGACGTTTAGAAAACTATTGGAACAGTATTAGATTTCGTGTAATCGTCATTCGATTCGTATTCGATTTGGTCCTGAAATTCACTATTCGCACACATTGACCATTACAAAGTTTAGAAATCCCAGCTACACGCAACTTCATACCCTGAGTACGAGTGTAAAGGCTAACACTGAACTCCGTCGCCAGGAGCGCAGCCAAAAATGTTTTTCGGGAGGAGGGGCGGGGGGTTCAACCATACTTTGTGTACGTTCATGCGTGCGTTTCACGTGTGCATGTATATACTGTACTGTTACGCAAGCGAAATTGAAGACATTCGAGGGGGCTTGAATTGCGCCAACTTACACCCCTTGGCTGCGACCCCGTCCGGTGGGCACATCCTGTACTGCGGTACACAACATTGGCCTAACGTACAAAAGGCGCCCTCAAAGACAGCGACTGCACAATGCAGCAATTCCTGGGGTTATCGTCAAGCGCACAGCCTAGGCGAGAACCTGGGACCCACCGGACAGTATATTATGCGGCCCCCGGTAGGCCCCCAGCCCTTCAACCCCCTCTTTTTAAATGCGAAGCATTTCTTAGCGAACTTCAGCGACTTTGAATATATATATATATATATATATATATATATATTTATATATATATATATATATATATATATATAAAGAGAAAGAAGTGTATACCTAAGGGCTCGTTTTTTTCGCGTTTTGAAACTATATTAATGAGATCTAACAGATAATAATGCCAAGGAATGCATAGGGCAAGTTATTAGAACCAATGTGATGCAAATAAGAAGAAAGAAAAGTGGGTGAAAAAATAAGCTGCCATGAGCAGGACTCGAACCTACGACCTTCGAGTAACGCGTTAGATAGCCTAACCATTGAGCTATCATGGTGGCCATACCCCATCCACTTTTTTGGGTTTCTTTCTACATTAAAAGTGATTCTTTTGCGTGCCATTTACTGCACTACTACCGTGAGAAACGAAACGTGTGCGCGAATGCGTGTTTGTATGAGCTTTATTCGTCCAAAGGTGACCGCATTTTGCCCCCGTATACAGTCACGACATTGGGAGCGTTGTGACGTATATTCTGGCATACGTGACACACCGTCACTTCATATATAGCGCTGTTCCGTTTCCTTTTAGAGATAGTAGTATACATATTCTGCCTCTATTCTATATCGCAATTCACCCCGTTCCGCTCTTGCACTTGGCCGCGACATGCAGGATATCGCCTGAGCGACGTGCTGACGTCGTCGCCGCGTTTTCCTCTTCCTCTCGCGCTCCCGTTTTGTATATCTCGTCTTTCTTTTATTATTTCAATGCGACACACATGCCCACACGCAGCTGCCTGCTTCCGCTTTCGGTATCAGCCGTCTCTGCTACCCTGCTTGCCGCAGACGCCGAGCGAAACTTCTGGCCATAGTGACGTTAAGAGAGATAGAGAGAGAGAGGGGGGGGCAACACTGCCATCGATGCATAAGCGTATGGCAGTTTTTTTTTTTTTTTTTTTAGGATGCGTGCGCAAACGATGTTGTTGCTCCGTGCTTCGATCGCCACGGGATGTCGCTTGTATGCTGTCAAGCGTAAGGTCCAAGCGTGAGGTCCCTTGACTTAAGTCAAGCGCAAAGCCCGTAAAGCAGGGCATACTCAAACAATCGGTCCGTGGAACTATCGTTGGCTGCACGCCTTTTCACACGGAATAAAGCTTCATGACTTTGATGAACAGTACTCGCATAATTTTCTCGCTTTGTTCTGGTAAGCTATAAATACGGGACTGACGTCAAGCTTTTTTTTTTTTTTTCGTGAGGCACCCCGTGCGGTCACTGTGAGTTGGATCACTGTAAAACGAGACCTCTATTTTAGAATATGCTTCCAGATTTCAATCATTTCGGAAATTAGTATCGGTATGTTTTTCGAGACCTGATGTAAAATACCCTTCAAAAATGCTCTGTGTATGGAATACGGAAAACTCTTTCTTTTTTTCGAATTGCAAAGTTCTCTTCTCTATCTTGCCCTCGCTCGAACCAGCTTGACCCTCTTCTCAGGACGAAATTTCGCAACTGCGGCCCGCTACCTGGGATGAGTTTGTGACGGGATGAGTTTGTGTGTGTGTGTGTGTGTGTGTGTGTGTGTGTGTGTGTGTGTGTGTGTGTGTGTGTGTGTGTGTGTGTGTGTGTGTGTGTGTGTGTGTGTGTGTGTGTGTGTGTGTGTGTGTGTGTGTGTGTGTCTGTCTGTCTGTCTGTCTGTCTGTCTGTCTGTCTGTCTGGTGAATACTCCAAGTACCGCCATCTCGCATCTTTTCATCCCATCTTGTGAAACAAGTGGAGACGAAACATTTTACGACGGGATGAAAGTGAAGGTAAGTTGAGGCTAGATTTCATGGCTGTTATGCTAGCGGTCCTGTTGTAATTAGAAAGTATAAAACGAATTGAGTTATTCTGTACCATTTCAAGAGAGTGTATTAGGTTGGCATGACTAGGATCCCATACTGCAGCGGAATATTCGAGTTTAGGTCGTATTAGTGTAGTGTAAAGAAGAAGTTTCAAGAAAGAAGGGGCCGTTGAAAAGTTGCGGCGGAGGTAACCTAACATTCGGTTAGCATTTTTAATGACGTAATTACAGTGAACAGTCCAGGTCAGATCAGTTTCTATATGCACCCCAAGGTATTTATAGTTTGTCACGGATTGAAGAGGGGTGTTATCAAGGTAATAGTTTGGAAGTTGATGGT